CAGTTAACTCATTTTCCTGCAACACACAGAGAACTACCGTACCTGGAAATGGAAAGGGAGATAAAAGCAGCCAACGAGAGTTAAAATTTAGTCAAGGAAGCCAAAGCAAATTGGTTAGTGAAAAACTGTTAATGTCTGCTTAAATTTCTGGATATTGAAGCACGGACCAAATCAATGACCGAAAAACGCTAAATAATAATAATAATTCAGTGAGGGATGCAATTCTGCCAGTGTTACAACTAATCCCTCAATGACTCGACGACATTCGTTTTGATGATAAATGGGCGCTGGCAAGTTCCAGGGGGTAAAACTCATTATCAGCTTCATTTTAGGCCATTTTTGGATGGGAAAGCTAAAGGTAGTCTTGCCCGTAATGTTTTCTGCCAGTTCTGTATTTTTAAAGTTTGATGACGCATGTAGGCAGAAGCATAAAGAAATGATTGCGCCATAGTATTTTTTTTTTTTTGTATTGGGCGAAAATGTACATAGAATGGTCGCAAAAAAAGTGATAGCATTACTTGTCCACATCGATGGTGCCAAATGGTGCAATGAAAGGGAAATTAGTGGAAATTTGTTTGAATTCAGTCTGCGAAATGGAACCGTCCCGATTATGATCGTAGTGCTTAAATACAGCTTCCACCATTGCCGAAATATGCTTATTGACAATTTCTGGATCCAATGTGCTGCTCACACCAGACGCCCAATCGGCAAACACCGCTGATTTGACTGGACTTTGAAACTGTAACAAATTCCTTCCCATTTCACGCCTCTCTTTTTCGCTGTCGCTCAGCAAATCTAGCGCGAGTTGATAATGTATCATTCCAACAAAGAAAAGAAAAGCGAGAAGACCGTGCATCCTTTTTTAAAGGTGCAGTAATGAAAACTTCCACGAATGGATGCACAATGTGACCAGCAACGAGAAGGAAAAGCACAAAAACTGACTAAACAAAGGCTGGAACGCACCAGGCGAGCCGGTGCGATCATGCGTTTTTGCATCAAAACTAA